TTCATATTTTTTAATCGATCTTACAACTAGCAAAAATGACATTTACTTCATCATTTCATATATTTTTATATGTCTTAGGTATTTTATTTGTTTTTCTGTTTATTTTTAATGAAACGTGAATTGATAAATATAATTTTATTATATTGAGTTTAGTTTTTTTTTCAAATTTCAAAAATAAATAATCCTAAGTGTACAACACTTTAAAGTTTTCTATTTCTTTGATATATTCTTTAATTCATATAAAAATAGCAGAAAAAATATATTTGAAAAAAAAAAAAAACCGTCCACAGCATTTATTTTTGGATATCTTCTAGTCAGCTCTAGCGACTAAAGTTCTCTTACCTGTTTGGTTGCTAAGTTAGCTTTGAGATTTATTTAGCTGTCTCAGCTTGCTACTAATAGATGGGCATTACATAAACATAAACGTGATGGCATATTTAAGTTTTTGATTAATTTACTAAATTAATTTAGTGCTGCTTAGTATTTACATTTTTAAGAAGCAGCATTCCCAGCGATTTCTCATGGGTCTTTTCTATGACTTCCGCATGGCGCCAGCTGTAAGTCTGGTATACAATATATGTATGTATGTAAGTATAGTTATTGTAAATGTCATTTAATTTCAGCCGATATTAAATGCCGTTGTTCTTGTGCTTCGCCAGACGTCGTTTATCTGCGATCAATTAATAATTTTGTTCATGACAATTTACAAGACTATAATTAATTTCTATGTGGGGTCCCGGGCCCAGTATCTAGTCGTCGTCATTGTTCTGCTGGTCTGTTCTGACAAAGGTCAATTGTGTTTGATAAATGTGAATATATTGGTAACTATGTATATAAATTTCATAATGAATGGCGACAGCAATCGCTAAGCGAGTCTTATGCATAAAGCTGAGCTCTATGGTCACTGACAAAATACCCTACATTAAGAAGTCAACTGATGGGGTGTATGCATTTGCATTTTTAAGCAATTTGCTATTCAAGTTTTCTACTAGTCGATGGCGAATTACTGCATATCTTTTAGTCTATCAACTTGTTCTTCTGTGCTTGCGGCTGCATGTTTATAAATCATTATGACAATTTGCTTGAGCTACCGTAACTAAAAAGTGCGCCCCTTGCAACTGGAAAATCCCCTCGCGCCTTTGGCATTATGCAAGAAACGAAGAGCTCGGCACGTAATTAAAATGCGCGTCAAATGGCTAAAGTCGATAGTTCAAGGCAACTGAAGGTGTTAACTTGGCTGTCTTTGGTTGCCTTAGGCGGAATTCAAAAGCCGAAGAAGGCTGCAGCTGTAGCCAACAGCTGTGCCTATCACAGTCGAGGATCGATGAAGACACCAGCCAAGTGGCAAGTGGCAAGTGGAGAGGTGTATGTGTGTGACGTCTGCCGATCGAGTACCATATGCAATTCTACGGAATAAGACCATACCATAAACAAGAGCTTAGGCTTAAGCAATCAGCAATAAGCCATAAGCCATAAGCCGCTCACATCAGTTGCTGCCCCAGCCGGGTCTGCTCGTCTGCAATTGGAGAGCCGCTTTGCCATGGCAGTTGCCAACCCGTGCTGCTGACTCGACATATTTATGGACATATATACATATATATGCATGTGTATATACAAATATATATCTTTTACATATATGTATGTAATTAAGTATGTAAGAAATTTGGAGCTCAAGTTGTGCATTATGCCAATTGTTGTTATGCATTTCGGTTAGCTCTTTTATTTCTAATATGCTGTGGTATTTAATGCATATTCATTATTTTCATATATGCACATATATGCACGCAAATACATATGTGTGTGCATTCAATTTCGTTTTGCGAAATCAATGAGCCAAGAAATTAATGAGAACTTTGAGTTTTACATTTTATATGCATGTCTCACTCGCTTCACTTTCATTGAACAAATCAAAACACAATGTTTCAATTAACACACACACATACACACTTGCTGTAAGTTGAGAATTGGCTATATACATATATATACATATGTACATTTATGTCCAAGCTGCAAGCCCAGGTTGCTGTGCTTCCCTTTAGCTAAATTGTATTTTCATAGTCGAATATAAAGCTCTTAAGACTTTTGCTGTGCTTCTTGAGCTATAAATTGTTGCCGTGCGATCAGCAGCTATCATATTTGTATGCCCATGCAGCATCATTCATCGATTAGTTGTCCAATATCTTTCTTTAGTCGACGGGCAGTTCAAAGCACTGCAACCTTGAGGCCTCTGCAGGAAATAGTTCTCCATTGTTCTCTGTTTAATTCAATTTTTATGATGCTACTTTTCAGCAAGCACTCAAATTTAACGAGAGACAGCGGTACTTCTCATCATAATTCGCTGTTTTTATATACGCCATGCGCCACACATCGATGAAATAGTTGAAATACATTATTTTAATGCGAAACTTGTGTTACTTGTGGGATAAGCTTTAATTTGGAGAACTGTTTCATTGAGCCTAATTAAACCATCAATGGATTCAGATAAGATATGTACATACATATATCATTGTATAATATTGTATAGCCAAGTCGACTCCTCAAGTGTTCTATTTGAAGTCTTTGCCATCTTGATATTTGTCCGTACAATGGCCCATCATAGTCTAGCTCTCCATACGCTTTCACTCTTTCTGTATAGGAATAGATACATGTCCACATATATACATATGTCATATACATATATGTCTATATAGTCTACAGATATATACATACATTAGTTTATATTTGCCCATTGCGTGGGCGTTCCGTCTCAGGGTCAACGCACATCGCCATCTGGAAATGATTCTATATAGTCTGTCTGCCGTCGTACGCGTGCAATGAAAACTTTAAATGTACATATGTGGACGTAGTTGAATGGATGATGTATGCCATACACTTAAGTAAAATGTATCTTTAAAATACAAAACAAAACACAACAAAAATAGAAAGAAAGAAAAAAGAAAAAAAAGATCGCCTCGGCCACGCAACTTGCGCACTAAAATGCTCTTACGCATGTCTTGGGCCGATTCCGAGTTCAATTCCTGCCATTGATTGACAGCGCACGTAATTGAGTTTGATTTTTGCGAATTTTGAGAATTTATACATCACTGTGCTACATCTTCGTATGGCGCATGGCGAGGGGGCGCTGCATGTCAAAAAGGTTTGTGTTTAGTTAGCCCAAATATTTGATTTGATTGAGCAGCTGTCAAGCGAACTTTCAAAACCTGAGCTCATATAAAAATAGTTTAAATGGCCTCACAGCTCTTTCAGCTGGCAGTTGTTGCCTCTCGTCTCGCCTCGCCTCGACAGTTCATTTAAGTTTTCGTAAGCTTTCCATCATTCAATCAGGATCAATATTTCTTAATCAAACTGGCAAAAAAATCGAGCAAAAGTAAATGAAAGAGAAATATAAAGAAATACACAAAAACGAGCAAAAATCGCATCAAATAATATAAACATAGCAACGCACGCACCACACACGCCGGCACAACCACGGCATGTCTAGGAGCTGGCGATTATTGCTGAGCTCGGGGATGTGTGTGTAAACAGTCGCAGTGTCTGACAGGCCGGCGTGTATGTGGATCTTCAAATACGTCTATATTTGGCCATACGCAGCCGATTGAGACGGCCCGAGGCGGACTAGGTGATCGCCCAAGCGGCGCGTGCCGTCAAATTGCATCTGCAGATAGTTCTGAGATAGCTCGCGCACAGCATCTTTAGCCAGCATCACTGAGTTTGCCATTCTAATGCTAAAAAAAAAAGCAAGTTTATGTCTGCGCGTGCTGCTGGCCGCTCCAAATGGTCTAAATGCGTTAATTACTAAGACCAGCTACGAGCGGCAGCACCACACACTACTACACTGAGACAACGACTCGCGCCACTGTGGGCAGCATCAGTTCATTCTCCGTAAGAAACTTTGCTTCGTTCGCCTCAAGTGCGTTTGATCACTAACAGCTGCGCCGCTGCTACTTGTCTTGGGCAGGCACCATCGACTACTCTATGTAGTTTGACAAGGCGACTAAAATATAAAAAGATTTATTGTAATAAATATTTAATATGAATAAAGCCTATAAGTAACAGGTTGATTCTTGAAATTTATTATTATGTATATACATATATTCCATATATTCTATGTAGCTTTAATGGAATACAAATCAAAGTATTGGATTTATTTCGGTACAAAATGTTCGGCTATCAGTTATTATTTATTGTTAATTTATTCATATGTATTTGTATTTATTATTAATTTAATTTAATAACAATTTATTTCAATGAAAACATTAGATATACTTCTGTTAAAATTGTTCGATTAGCTAATATTCTGTAATTTTCAATTTCTTTAAGATATTTAAGTTCCTCTTATTTTTCCCTCACTAATATTAACTATAATTATTAACTATTAGTGAAAATTATACAAACCTGTAGATCAGCTAGGAAAGATATTTTAAAATATTTAATCAACTTTATAATTTGTATGGTTGAGTTGATAGGGGTTATTATTTTTTTAAAATAAAGAAAAATATTTATTTAAATAAAAATATTAGTTTTTATTATATACCTTTCACTCTTACCTAAATTTATTTATCATTTGGCTAAAGCACCTGCGTGAAATTCGATTGTAAAGAGAGAGTATTTAGAGATGAAATTTCTAATGATATTTTGTAACGCTATGAATTGCAAATGGGAATATAAAATAAAACAGAAACTGAACCAGCAATGGTTTATGTTTTTGATTTCGTTTTCATTTCCGACTTGTAATTCACGTTGCACTGTTGTTAATTACACAACATATGTTGCATATAGCATATAGATATACATATATGCTTAGACCTGTTCTGCCTGCAGCTATGGGTCGTACTCTCCCTGCTCTCTGCTTTTCAATTAGCAGTTTGAGCTGTGCCAAAAATATTTTCAAAAAGAAAAAGCAATTATTTTTATGAATGCATGGCAAAAGTTTTTTTGTTTTATTTTTGCGAAATGGATTTTAAATTTTCAACTATATTTTAATATAGCTAACGAGTGCTCGTCTTTTAATTGATTAATTCTTCGGCTGCTGCGTTTGATTAAAGAAAATATTTCTATATGCAAAGAGGTCAATTGCTTCATATGGTAATTTGGCATAGACACTATGTATGAAGCGCTGCAGAACTTTTTAGTTTAAGTATGATGTAGACCTTGAGAGGCCCGTCTGTGCTGCTGGCATATGTGACTATGTATATATATATTATAAATAAATCTACGTATAAGTAGTATATATATAGAGAAATTTCTGCACTTACAGTTCCTAAAAGATAATGTCACTAACTGTTCACAATAATTGCTCTATGCAGATGCCAGTTCAGGTGAAATATGAAGACAAGTTAAATAAATATTTTAATAATAATGAAATAAATCAAAACATTTTATTAATAATAGTAATCTTTTAATTAATATTAGTAAGAACTGCAGTTTAAGTTGAGGAATGTATTTGTTGTTGCTATATGCATAATCAATGTGTGTAGAGAAACCCGATTAGATTCGCTTATTATTCGGATGCATTGTGTGCTTAAACCCTTACATTAAATTATATGACTTTTTAATAGAGCTATAAGATAGTAGATAGTAGCAGATTTCTTACGAAAACTTCCTGCATGTGCGGCCAATTTAACATTGCTGTCTATGTAATATAAAGATAAGTGTAACAGTACAATAATATTGGTCCAGCTAAACAAAAACTGCAGTCTTGTTGGGTGTGCCCGACTAGATTATACCTTAAATTAAAAACCTGACTCATTTTAATAGACAAATAAATTTAAGCAATGGAGACATATGTCATATTAAAACTGAATATAAAGATCAACCAAGATAGATAATGCTCAGACCCACGCCGAATGATAAGAATGACTTGCCGAACGGGACAACTCTGTATTAGACGGGATGCAGATAAAAAATAATTAGAGAAATGTCAGGGAGAATGTTGTTAGTAAGGTTTGGTACTAATTTAGTTAAATTTTAAACTTCAACGAGAATAGTTGTGTTGTATAGCTAAATTTATGATGACTTGATGTAAATTCGGTTCGATTATTTTCGAGATTTAAGCAACGTTCAAAATTTTAAATTACGGCTTAAAAAACTTATTCAATTGGTTAAGGGTATGAAAGATAAAAGGTTATCCAAAACTAAAAGACGCTTGATTTTGAAAACTTCAGCCAAAGCTGCGAGCTCGAGTGTTCAGCGAAAGCTCGATTCTCATGATCAAAGAGAATTAAAGCTCTCTTGGCTTTGCCTCAATTCGAATATTTTATTGCGCGTGTTGGGTCGTATGAAACGCTCTCTTAGCTTTTGGCCCGGCACGGCCTCTTAAACGCCTGGTAAACGCCGCTGAACCGAGATGGCTCTACAGATGCTGCAATACTATCAGATTGTGGTTGATCTCAGCTGAAAATAAAGAAATATATTAGTTTTTAATTCAAAGATCTTATCAGACTTTGGCTTTACATATTGATATTCAAGAAAAGAATTGGTGACCTGAACGAAACGTCAAATCGGCCCTTCTAATCATATTTCTACACACTGAACATTTTTACTTGATTTAAAAATAAAATATCTACAAGCAAGCTCCCGCCAAAACAGATCCAAACCAATATTTCACGATCACCTCTCTTCAGTCGCGCTCTTCGTCTCAGATTCGCGCTTTGCGAGAGTGTAAGCATACATGTGTGTGTGTGAGTGTGTATGTGAGATGTCGGTGCTCGGCGTGTGCTTCAAGTGCTGAAACTCATGAACGAAAATATTGCGCTTGATAGTCGGGGAATCGAACTCGAAAGAGCGACAACGCGTTTTAGATTTCTTTTTTTTTGTTTTGTTTTAAATGTTTGTTTTTTGTTGTTTCTCGTCATTTTTATCGTCGTTAATTTTGCGCGCGCAACGACTCGGCAAATTCGGAAATCCTGACAGCTTCCATCTGCAATAATCAATAATGTTCGGCTACGCGACGTGACAATTAATGCTACTAACGGTAATAATACTGATCCTAACAGCATGGATATGAATCTGCAAATTATGCTTGCTGCATGCATGTGTATGTGAGTGCCTGTGTGTGTGCGAGCGTGTGTGTGTGCGAACTTGTATGCAAATGAAATGGTCAACTTTGAGTCGGTCATAACCTTCTCTAGATGCGATGATAAGAAAAAGTTAAAATAAACAAAAATGTAAAAAAAATTTAATTATATAAAACAAAAAGTTTTATAATGAAAAAAAAAAAAATGCAAAAGTTGTTAAAAGTTAAGTCGAGTGTGCAACAAAATAAACACGCGAAATGCATAAAAGTCTCTAGACACACACATATGATACGAATATTAAATGTTCTTTTGTGAATTAAAACATATTACTTTGGCATTCAACTTGAAGCTAAAAAGTGTACAACAAATTATTGTGCTTACTGTATCTAAACGTTTACTTATGTATCTGTGGCACGCAAAGAATGAAACTAAAACACTGGATGCGACAGCTTAGCCATGTGTATACACATACATGGATCTATGTATCCAGACGCACACGCATATATCTGTATATACACATACATACATATATATCTCTGCATACATACGTCACCTCAGCTTTATCACTGTTTGCTTATGGTTCCAAGTAGCTATCTGTTGCTAAACTTTTCAAATCTTTCTTTCACCATAATTCTTTTATGATAAAATTACTATGAAACTACAATCAGCTGCCGGCAACAGCAGCAACAGCAACAGCAGCAGCAGCAGCAATCTAAAAGCATAATTTTGATTCTCGTTCACGAATTCAAATTGCTTTCTGTGCATTGTTCGTCCTTCTGTATAAAGGCAAAGGATTTTTGCTTTGGTGTACTTTGTAACTGTTAACTGTATTTATCACAATTTTAGACGTGTGTTGACCTCCTCTATTGACTAATCAGGTTATATATAGATGCCTCTTGGGGGCATGGCAGATCTGAATCAGATCCGTAGATCTAGAGTTTGACTAATTATGATATACATATCTATGCCTAATTATTCAGATAGACTTATAGATGATAATAATAAATTTGCATGCAACTAACAGTGTTTGAAACGTGAGCGAGTATCATGCAGTCGGTAGCGATCGACTCTAAAGTTCTTACTTGTTTTGTCTATCAATTGTTGGTTTATTCTGCGTGCGGCAACAGCAGCAGCAGGGGCAGAGGCAGAGGCAGCGGGCACGGCACCATCGAATTTCAATTAACAAAATAAGCAAAGCACCAAAAATATCAGCATAATAGAAACATAATTAGCCATTAGCCCCGTACCGAGCCCGAGTACAACAGCGCCGCAGCGTAGTCGACCGAGCCACGTTCGCTGCTCACAAAATTCGACCACAAATTCACACATTGTTGCACGTGCTCCGCTGGCGGTTGATTGACGACTGACAGCTTCAGTAGTTGAAGCAACTCTACGGCCAGCGACAGCCCGCCATGCAGACGGAGTCGGCAATGGAAGCAGCAGAGGACCATCAGCTGCTACGAACAATCGCATTGCGATCGGACCGCACAGGCGCTGATATCGATGCGGATGACAGTGTCCTGCGATACTCACTCAAAGGAAGTCCGCCGGAGCTCTACTCGCCCAAGAAGGAATTCATCTACACGCACGCGCTCGTCGAGAAACAGGTAAATACCGATCCAACATAGAGGCGCGCCTAGCCCTTTGCATTGCATACAATATATCGGTCTTTTCTTTTATTTCTCTTCTTTTTTTATTTTTGTTACTTTTTTGGCTGCCCTCTCAAAGCCCAACTTAATTTATTGCTTCGATTTCGCATCGATTTGTCGAGTTCTTTTATTTCTTTTATAAATTCAGTTGATTTGTCGCTATTTTTTGTCTGCTTCGCTCTTTTTTGTTTTGCCTTTTTTCGCTTTATTTTTTTTGTATTTACTTTTTTTTTCCATTTTAAGCAAAGCTCAAAGAGACAAAGAAAGCGTCGTCGCTATGACCATCGCATTTGAATACACACGCTTCGCTACACAGACAGTGAAAAAATAAAATAAAATAAATAAATAAATGAAAAGAAAATAAAATTAAAAAATAAAACCAAAAATTTCAATTTCGCCCAGTTAAATTGTATAAAATTGGATAAATAGAGAGATATCGCCAGTACCCCCCAGGGTATCACACGAGTACCCAGAGCTGGCAGGGAAAACCATGTTTAGAATCTAATCAATGCTTACACAATGAACATTAGATGTAAGCAACTTAAGAGGCATGCTCGAATCTGGCATACCCTATCGCAAATTAAATATCTACCCCAAGGTATTATAGAAGTCCCCAAAGCTGACTTACATAAAAGGCATTACATGTAAACAATTTAAGGAGTATGCTCGACTCGCGCATACCCTATTTGAATATGCTGTGATTAGGGCTCGATCTTCGTACTGCAAAATAAATTTTGTGGATTTGAGTTAAGTTTACACTGCTCACATCTCCACTGACTCACTAACTGTTCGTGACGTTAGACACACTGCCTATGTACAAGAACCGTTCTATTTATGTATGTACAGCCAGATTAATGTATGTGTGCTTATGTTGAGATTGACCGATAAAAGTCTGCGCAATTTTTTCTTTGGGTACTTTAGAGACAGGTGCTTCCGTTGTCAAATTGTTTTCTCTTTTTTTTTTATACAATGTTTGACGATCCACCTAAAGCCAACATGCGCAGAAACTTCAGATGAATATGTCTTTTTTTTGTTCGTTGAGTTTTATAGCCCGACAATAAAACAATTGTATGTTTAGTTAATAATTTTATGGAAATATGAACTATGACTGTGATATTTTTCTGTTGATAATAACTTACTCATGCGACTATGCGGGCAAAATGAGTCCACTTTGGGGAGCATATCTGGATCATATTACTTATCATGAAAGATAATTGGATATCACAATATTGGCATGGCATGAATGAGATTTTCTGCAGCAGCTGCACTTGACAGCGTCGAGACTCTGAAATGAATGTGCTGCACATACTTCTGAACGATTTTAGATGAATCTGCAGAAAACACGACCTGTGTGCTAATTGCGAGTAATTTTGCTTTTCGCGAACTATGTCTGAGGTGTGAGAATTAGCTAGATCAATCTGCTTGGGTGACGGGACGTGACAGTTATATTTACCCATGTTAACAGAACGGAAAACTCCATTTGACATCCACTAGCTGCCGCTATTAGGCATTAGCCATTAGCATTTGATCAGCGTTCTCAACAGCTTTGGACGAGGATAGACGATAGATGTAACTGCTGAAAGGAGAGGTGTTGAAATTTCAAAAACAACACGAACCTGTAGTTGTATGTGTATGTAAATCGAATTAATAAATAATGTTGGTTGCGTATTAGGAAGTCGTTACGGCTGTCTGATCCGACTTATGTTTAATACTATTTATAGACTCACACACACATACACACACACACACATACGAGTTCTGAGTAAAAATGCTGATAACCACAAATTGAACTAAGCGTGCCTTTTCGAACTATTTCAATTCAGATGAAATATTATTTGGTTTCTTTAGCTTGTATGAAATTGAATTTTATTTTTATATTATTCTGGTTAGTTTTGTGTCGAGTTTTTCTTAAAAATAAATTGTGTCATTTATTGTGTGGCGCCATGAGTTCGAAACACTTGCTGTAAGAGCCTCGATGCTGGCGCGCTCTAATTTGTATTCGAATACAATAATATTCACATACTGTTTAGAATTTGAATATGCATGTAGTATGTAGTATTTCGGTCGTGCGACGTGTTGCTCGTGTTTCTCAGCATTTTGCTTATTTTTTCATTATTTATTTTGTCTACTTTAAATAAATACGAGTATAAAGAAAATTTCAGTTCGTTGACATCAAAAAAATGAGGCGGGGAAACAACAAAAACAAAAATTTAAAAATAAAAATAAATAAAGTAAAAACAAACTTTAAGAAATTGAACATTTGTCTGTCAGCCTAAATGTAAAAAGAGACCCGAGACAAGAGACCGACTAGTAGAGACCCTAAAGTCAGCTTCCAATAAAACTTATCATAACTTTTGCAAATCAAAAGCCTAATTACTTTAATAGGATTAAAACACATTCTTATCCTGATCTACAAATTATTTTAATGATGATTATATTGGGGATTGATTAGTGATATGCAGCGAATTCAGGGTATATGAAACAGTTTCAGACTCAAGCTCCAGCACGAAAATGTGTCATATATTGTACTTGAAAATATTCCAAGTCCGAGCGCAACTTAAAATATGATGCAGGAAGCGAAAGGTCTCTGAAATTATTCTGGTCACCTCTTTAATGAACATCTTACCTGTTATATCCATCAAGTTTATGTAAATATTATTTAAATGTTTGAGGGTGTGACCAGAGAGCCCTTTGTAACAACAAACAATTTGTCAGCAGTATAAAGCCTCCATAAAAAAGGGGAAAAAAAAAAAACGGGTAAATGATTTCAGCTGAGAAAAAAAAGGCTTAAAAATACTCGTAAATTCAAGTGTTTTTGCTGCTTTTTTTTTTGCTGGGGCGTGACTTTAGGGTGTTGTTCACAGTTTTTGCTGTAGTTGTGGGTTCAGAATTTTGAATTTTCGGTATTATTATGAACAATGTTTACGTGCTCTGCAAGCCGATGAAAAAACAAAACAAAACAATATATTGTACCAGCCCACGATCGTTTCTAAAAAATAGTACAATAAAATAAGGGGGCAACAAAAAATACAAAATGCAAACAAAAAACAAAAAACATAAATTCTCAAACAATTCCATGTTCAAAAAAACTGTCAAAGTAATTAAAAAATTATAATAAACCGAATGTCAACGAGAATAGCGGCGCGGCAGAGATGTGAGACGACAAGTGTTCGCTGTTGATATTAATTAATTCTTTTTTAATTTATCAGTCAAGATTAATGCTAAACATTTTCAACCTAGTGAACAGTTGGTCTTAAAACTGATTTCTTTTTGTTTGTTTGACTTCGTATTTTGCATTTCGCATTTGAGATTTAAGACATCAGATTTAAGACTTCAGATTGAAGATTTCAGTTTTCAGATTTCGGACTTCGAGTCTCGTTTCATTTCATTATTTTATTATGGATATTTAGCTGGCCATTTTTAGCAAGGTATTAGCATAATTGCTTACCAATGTCCATTCCATTCAAGGCGAAAACACCTTTAATAATTGTGTGTTTAATTTTTTAAAACATTTGTTTTGCTTCTAATACCCTGGACATATGCATAGCAGGTTGTTATTTCTATGAACTCCGACACTTAACTGTTTGTAGATAGAAAACGATTTGTATTTTATGCTGGGTATTTGCTAGTCGAGCACTCATTAGCTCAGTATATTTACAAATATTTTATTGCTACTTTTTGTTATTTTTTTCGCTTAGCTGTCACAAGTTGTGAATGAATTTTCGGCAAATCGATTTTAGTGTTATTAGGTAGAGACATTTGAATTTTGGTAAATAATAATTTGTTACACTGATTTGCTGGCTTACATCAAAGCCAGAACCCGCCTATAAAGCTGAAAGATTAGCCAAATCTGGTTTGTTGTCCATTGGCTCGATGCCTTATTTGGTGTTTAGTCTTTTGTCTCTATTTTATTTCTCTTTTCCGGCCGCCTCATCTATAATGCCCGAAACCAGAAGAAACGCTCTTAATGATTTTTTATTTATTTGCTGTCGTTACGGCCTTATCTTATGTATTTCTGGCCACATTCCGCTGGAGCGTGTTACATAGCTTTACATAATTTCATTATATTTCACTTTTATGACATTCATTTAATTATTTTATATAAACACGGCTGTCAGCACGCCCAGTGCCGCGTGGTGCCGGTGGCATCATCATCATCTGAGCTGGATCGTCAACATGGCCACATGCGAATCAATGACATTATCGAACCCCAGCACTTTGCTTTGCATATAAAGTGGAGACGCGCCGCAGCAGAGGCTCCAAGGCGCACCACATCGTCTGTATTCATATGCTAAACCGACTCGGACTCGGACTCGGAATGGGACTGCCTGAATTCAGAAGTCAAAGTGGCTTAGCCTGCCCTCATCTCTTTATCTATCTAAAAGCAATATTTCGATGCTTTGGAGCATCAGCGCATTATCATTGTGTGCGTATGGGTGCAGCAGTTCCATAAACCGAACCGCAAGCCGACCTCAGACTCCATCGGAAATGTGAATAAAATAAATAACAAAATATTTAGCCACAAATTCTTTAATAGCTTGGTTCCCAAAAATAAAAAATAAAATACCTATTTTTTATTTTCTTTTATAAAAATTTCAAGGAGTCCGCCCTGAGCTGTCGGTGTGTCTTGCTGGTATGTGTGAGGTGGCCTTTGTTTCGATTCCAGAGAATTAGACAAAGTATTGCGGTTTCATGTTGCAGGCTATGTGCGGTCAATGGGGCGTTATTTATACATTTGGTAGCCATGATTTATGAATCAGGATGAATGGGCATTGCTCATATACATAGGCCATACCCGATCCTGATGCCCTCCAATCATTCCGCACATATACGTTCAACATTTCAATCGAAGTCTTCTGGGAAGTTCGACTCGTTTTGGCATACGTAACAGATATTGATAGTCTTTAGAGTGGCATTTATAATCGCATTAGAGCCCCACACCCTTTGGGATGAAAATCGACTAAGCCATCCATTTGGCCATTGGCTTTTCGGGGGCAAGACAAGCGACTATAATTTGCATATAAATTCGATTTATAGTCATAATTAAACTGACCAGTTTTATTTATTTGCATTTTCGTTGGCTCAACAGCTCAGCCATGGCTTGAGCGCAAATATTTCCGTGTTTGTTTTCCTTGCAGTTTGCTAAAGGACCACACACAGACACAAACGATAGTTGTCAGCGGCTTCGATATTCTAACTTGTCGGGCATATATAGCTATCACCTGATTGACGTTAATTTGCCAAACAAATACGATGTACGTCACTTTTGCCGGCAGCAGCAGTTATGCATATTTACTCAAATGGTTCACACTAGCGCTATGAGTGTGCGTGCGTGTAGATTAAGCATACGCCTCGCGGTACATGGCACTACCGACAGCCATATGATCGAGATCGGGTTTGCTTGCTGTTAAGTCAACTGAAGTGCCCCAATGGGGCGATATCACCAGATGAAACCAATGGGACCATCCCCAATCGATCGGCAGCGTCACAGCATCACTGCACCATCAGGCTGAACAGAGATAAGAGTCAGGGAGTATCTGAAAATCGGCACGTCTGCCAGTTCAGGTTCAGGTCTAACTATTTCCTAAACCATCGAGATTCTAATCGCGTTATAATGCGCTTTATTGATCTGCTCTATGATGAGCAGTTAAATGTCTATGCAAAACTCTGCTAGCCTTATCGCTTGCTGACAAAAGCAATCATCAGCAATGCAGTGGCCAATGTATATATACATATATGTATATATATGTATATATTTGCTATATCTTTCGTTTGTAGACTTATAACATATGTCTGCATCGAATGTGCATATGTATGTAAATATGTTATTAATTCAGGAATTATCCATATTTGCTGGCAGACTTGTGCTATTTAATATTTGGACAAGTGCATGTGTGATCAAGCTATATTTGCAGCTGTATGTGTACAGTTATTCATTTACACATTTTTCAAAATTTGTGTACTTTTTCACAGATATATATATATATATATAAAATATAAATAAAGTATGCATAACATTTTTGCACATTTAAAATTCGTATGGTAAATGCAATTACTTAGTGAACATGGAATTCTATTTACGCAAACCGAAAATCGAACGAAGGAACGATCGATTTGAAATCTATTTTCAACAAATTGTTTGCCATAAATAATGCTTAAATATATATACACATAATTTTATATGCGAAGAATTTCAAATGAACATGATATCGAAATTTTGCGATACTAAATGAAGTCTAGAATCGACTTGATATTAACTATGTACAGATATTTAGAGATAACTCCACGAATGGTATTCAACTTGAGCTCCACAGGTATACATACATATATGTACTTTCATAAAAATTATTTGATATGCTAACTGTGTTCAGGCATTTGTTGCTGGGCACAAGCTCTCAAAAAAAAAAAAAAAAAAAAAAAAAAAAAAAAACACACACACACACACACACACACGAGTATTCACAAGCTTCGGACCAAATGCTAAACAAAGTCATTGCCTTCAAATACATAACAACAGCAACAGCAACAACTGAAGAGCGTGAAGAGCGCGTCGAAATGTGTCAAAAGGCCCAAAGA